AAATCTATCCTTTAAATTGGTACACAAACGACGAGCAAAAAAGGAAAAAAGTCGCAAACCAGGACTATTAAACATCCATACAGATAAGACAACTCCACTCCATATCATTTGAAACAAAAAAGTGTTCTTCTTCCTCCTTTCTTTTTTCTCCTTTTTTTTTTTTTTGTCTTTTTAAAGTTAGAATGTTTTTTTTTTCTTTTGAACATTGAGGAATTTTGGAGAATGTTGTTGATATAAGTTAAATTTTTAACCAATTAAATCCAAACATTATAATTTGGAGACGAATTACTAGATTCAAAGATTTGATTCTAATTAGAATAAATTAAATTATATAAAATATTAATTGTTAACGGACAATAATCACTTTATTTAATAATTAATATTTTAATATATGAAATATTATGAACTATAAATACAATACTTAATTTAAAATCTATAAGATAAAAGCAAATTAAAGATATATTTACATAATTATTTTCATATTCTAAACTGTAAGTGTAAACACTATACTCAATTTGAAATTTATGGGATAAAAACAAATTAAAGACTTATCTGCACAGCCATTTGAGAGAAATATTCCACCTTAAAAGTTGGTACTCCGTGATAATGAGACAATAGCTTCATACTAACAATATCATCATCTAACGCTCTTACTACTGAAAATCTCTTATTGCATGAGTTATTATTAGATGTACTAGAAAAATAATTATAGGCAATAATAACGGTGATGAAAGAAAAGATTATTCTTTACTTTTAAACAAAAACAAGTTGAAATTATATCTACTTTTTCTTGGTACTTTTAAACTTAATTATTTGAATTTTAAAACTATGTATTTAACTTATCCAAACTCTTGTAAGTGAAATTGTACCTATTTTATTCAAAATTCACATATCATTTTTAAAATTAAAAAAAAAAACTAGAAAAAAGATTTCTACTTTCAATTTTTTCATATCTTTTCTGAATAAGAGGAACATGTGAAACAGCATATACATATATTTAGAATTTAATTAATATTACGATTTTGGTACATGGCATACTATCTAATGCCTCATTATCTACCTTTCTTCGTTGTGGAACAACTCAATCTTCATGATAGAAATTAGGTTCCACCGGCTTGAACATTTTGGGCATTTTCAAGCTGGCATCATTTGGGTCAATACTGGGCACCTTTTGGTAACCCCCTTTTCTTGTGTTTTTAGCAAATTTAGAAGCCAATATTGTGGCACCAATATGCTGGGTATTGCTTGCATTTTCAGACCCACAGGCCTCATTATCCGCATTGTCCTCTTCTTCTACGGTTTGCAGATACAAGCCCTCTTGCCTTGCCAACTCCATTGCTAGCTTTCTCTTCTTGAACCGTCTCCATGCAGTCTCTATAAAGCAAGCTCCCCAAGTCCTCCATTGGTGGGAGTAGTACCTGAAAGCATGTTGCAGCTTCTTGCTATGCAGCCGCTTGAATTGCTTTGCAACAAACTTGAGGTCCTCTGCTCGGAGAGCAAATGCCTCAACTTCAGTGATGGACTTCACTGTTCTGGTTGATGTTGGGAGGTTTAGGCTAGAGTCGGGCATCAAAGCCCACGTCAACAACTCTTCTCCACAGAAGTCACCAGGTCCTAAGTTAATGGAGTTGTAAAATCCTGACCTGCCACCGTTGGTTGTGGAGCTTTGTAATTTTCCTCTAATGATGAAAAGCATCTCGTTCACCGGATCACCTTCCCGAACAATGTACGTTTCTTTGGTATTCAATGATGACACCAAGTGTTCACAGATTGCATCCAAGAGTTGGTCATCCATTTGTGCAAAGAATGGAACCTGGAAGTGTCATTCAAGCTCAAATGACTCAAATTGAGAGTGTCCAATGCATCTCGTCCTTAATATCTTAGTGAAGCCAAACAATTTCAACTTAGAATTGGTACCAAAGACAGAGACTTACACGACGAACGAGGGCGAGACAGAGATGCCTTTGAATATCACGGCGGAGGTCCAAGGGTAAATCACTCAAAATGGATTCTTCATCAACTCCCCTTGTAGCAATCCATTTATACTGAACAAACCGGCGAACACGGTCTTGCAATTCTTGGGGCAACTGACGATGCCTCATCCACTCCTCTGTATCTCTTCTTCTAATTCTCCACTCCTCCAATCTAGCCGTTGTGGATTGAAGATAGGTCTTCAAGGAGGAAGGTTCATTGAAGAATTAGAAACAATCAAAACCAACAGAAAATCAAAAACATAATCACTTAATATCTACACCATTCTCAATCATAGTCTCATATCTATTGAAAAACCCAAAAAGATAAATAAGATTGAGAAAACACAACCCGAGACCTTGATTTTTTTCCAAGAGACAAGGATCCAGATGTGGTGTTAGGAGAACTACACAAGTTGATTACAAATAATTATATTGTACCTGCATGTTACCAATGAGATGACAGAAAAAGACCAGACCCGCAATGCAAATTAGAATGCCAAATAAAGTTTCACTAACTATGGTACTTGCCGCAATATTCTGTCCATATGAACTGCACATCACAAAATGATTGGAAAAGTATCAGCACCACATCTGAAGCAACACATAAATTTCTGAAAATGTTTTGTGTTCGAATGTAATGTTGCTGTTGCCCCATTCCTAATCTCTGAGATAATAGCTCTTGTATCATCAAATCTTCAAACAATATGTTCATCAATGATATAGTGGACACTACTCTTCTAACTTAAAATATAATTTACTAATAGTATATGAATGGAAGAGCAAAATCGTTAAAGTTAGGGCATAAGAGCAGTGTCAGGAAAAAGAATGTGATTGTGAAGTGCAGCAAGTATTTAATAGTGTGAAAACAAACTAGTTGAAAATAACATACCATAGATTTTTTAGACCCCACCAAAGGCAATAGAAGTATTTATCAATAAAATTCGATGAAGCAACGTCATTGGTAAAAGCATCAGCAAACATTCCAAAATGAAAATTGTCATTTCGAGCATCACAACCAGTGATGACATTAGTAGTTTTCAGCCAAAAGTTACGGTCAGGCTTTCCCAAAGTGCTACAATCAAGAAACAGTGGATGGCACGATGGAGAGTGTGTGGTATTAATCTCATTTCTACATTCTATTTTCCAGCATTCTAACTGCCGCTGGATAGATAACACATACCATGAAGCTCCCAAGACCTGCAGTGACAATTTAAAACAATAATAAAGATAAAGAAGCTTTTCAAAAATGAAAATGGTGGTAAAGATAAAGCAAGATGATAATGAAATAGAGGGAAAAATAAGGAGATTAATGCTAACATGGCCAGCCAGCATATAGAGGAGGAGATTGTATGCTGCTCCTGACCACGCAGTCTTAGCCACGGCGCCTGTGGTCTTAACAATCCTTCGGTTTATGGGAAACATGACATACAATCGAGGAACATATTGAATGAGAACAATCAAAGAAAGTGTGTGGTTGTTATGTGCAGCTGTTGAATTTTTCACCGCTGGAATCACGAACCAAGTGACAATCTGCAAAAGTAACATAATGAATAATAATCAAAGAAAATACCCCGTAAAATTTCTAGTTGTATGAGAAAAATTCCACTCTATCATTCCTGCTAAAAATAAGTTCTATTTGCATTTAAGGCTACTCAATTACTACAATCAACTTAACAAGAACAAAAAGAAGAAGATTTCAAGATGGATTTTGTTTGCTAGATGATGAACAAATTTCTTCTATAACAGAAAATTTCAAGGATATGAAGCAATGATAGGAAAAACTAAAGAGACCAAAATTTAAGTGTAATTTACCTGAGGGAGAGGGAGGGCAGCGGCGAGGTCAATAGCAAACATTGATTTCAAGTATCTGGTGGCAATTGCCCTTCTATCAAAGACGAGCTCTCCCCTACCAAAAACCCTCGATTTGGGCGACACAAAAGCCGTCCTAAATTTCATCACAATGTGCATCAGAAAGAACATGTCGCAGACGGTGCGGAAGAAGGTGACCAGGATGCCCAGACCCAAATCGATTCCCATGCACGCCGGGCCGCCGATGACGGGGAGGAAGAAATAGAGAGGGTCGAGGAACAGAGCAATGATGCAGGACACAAGGAAAATGTGGTTCCATTTGTTGACGACGGAGCTCCCGGGGTCGAGGGTTTGGTTCCACCAGGGGACTTTGCGGCGGAGAGAGAAGGGGGAGTGGAAGTTGCGAAGGCCGGAGGCGTTGAAGGGGTTATTCATCCTTACAAAGGCAATTGTGCCTGTAATTCCCACAAAACTCTCTTTAGGATTTCGGGGATTTTCAGAGATTTGTGGAAGGCCAAGCGATTTTGATGGAGGGAGGGGAAGAAGGAAAGAAAGAAACGTTAAACGTTAAATGCGCGCCAAAAAATAACCGTTAGTTTGGTACGAAAGGACTAAAATGCAAGCAAAGACATTTAAAAAAAAAGATAAAAACATACTACTTATTTATTATTAGAGAATGGTACTAACAGCTGTTTGTTCGATAGGAAAGAGTTTGATTTTTTTTAAGTAAAATATCAAGTTCAAATTTTGTGAATGACGAAACAGGTGTTGAGATAGTTTTCTCTTAATATGGTTCAATGTGACTTGATTTTGAATTAATTAAAATCTAATATGGTTATCGAATAGCAAAAAATTAATAAAAAAATAATAAAAAATGGTTTTCTTCAAGGCGGTTTGTAGTTAAAAATATCTGTTATAAAAATATCATTAATTATAATAAACCTCATGCATCTCTCATTCATATTTTTGGTTTTTATAATTTCAAATGGATGTTTTTAAGTGTAAAGTGAATTATAAAATAACATTTTAATCTGTTATTGTTATAATTTATTATTATACCCGAATTGGTATCTATTTACATATTTAATATTAGTTTATATGTTGTATAAGTATTATAAAAAGAAACATTGTAGTGATAGCATTGCTTTTTATTTATGTATCAAAGAAAGAAGGTTATTCCATTGGTGATTGCTAGAATATTTAATACATTAGAAGAGAGGTGGTAGGAAACGCCATCACTACTACAAGTTGGTTAAGTAATCTTACTAGTTAATTACTTAATCCATACTTTTTCAATGACTGCATCTAAACAAAAATATTAATAAATCTTTGGACATATTAATTTTTTAATAGGGATGGCAATTTCTTTCGAAACCGTGAAGGTCTAAGGAAATGTCTGTCATGGAATGAAGATTCTAAGAATATTTCCTCATGTGAAGTGAGGATAGAAGCATTTTTTTTTTTTTTATGAAATTTCCTCTGTCCTATGGAAACCCATTTATATATATTTATATACATTTTTTTATAAATATATTACCAATTAATTTTTATTCATTCAACTTAATTAACTAACCCAACTTAATCTAAATTGTTCAACTTAATCCATTTTCTAGTTCTAGTCTTCTCAAACTCAATTCAATAAGTCAATCCAACCTGAACATGTAAAGTACTTCATGCATTTCTTTTTTTTTTATAAACTTACTATTAGACTTGTTGGAAATGTATGGTAGTATGTATTTGGTATGGTTGGTTATTAGATATTGCTTTGCTGCACTATATGTTAATGTATTTATTTGTTTGAGTTGTTTTAAATTTTTACTCTTTTTTTATTTATCAAGAAAAAATAAAATAAAATTTAATATATTTAATACTTAACGGAGACTATGAATATCTGCGATGACCTATCAATCCTCGTGGGTACAAGAACAAAAGTCATTTTTAGCTTTTGCCAAAAATTTCCATAACGATTCCCATACCCATCATTGATTGGGATGGGGATGGAAAGGGGGTCTCCACCTCCATTGGGACCCGTTGCCCTCCCTATTTTTGAATAATCGCAAATATCAAATATGAAATCTCATTGGTTAATAGAAAAATATACATGTACATGGAAAGATGGGATCATACTCTATATATACACATACATGCCAACCACCTTTGCCATAATTAGTAATTTCATAGGCAAACTCTAGAGACAAGATCGCTGTTTTGTCTTTTATATGGAAAATAAGAATGGCATTGTCTGTGGTGTAACTTCGAATGATGCTGGAGCTGTTCAAAAGGATGGAAACTCAGAATTCCTGCATCCCAAATTTCATGGCTGGTTTGCTGAGCATTGCCCTATTTGGCCAGGTATGTATGCAACATTATCCTTGATTTTCTTTTTCTCTAATGAAGAAGACTATATGTTGATTATGCTTGCTCAGATCCTTCCAAAAATGTGCTCTTTCTTGCATATGAAACCATGTTTTGAAGAGTATAGCCTAGATTCCATCTTTGTAAGACTGTAAATTCATCCCAAAAATTTATCAATCTTGTAGATATTCATAAAACTAGAAGGGAAGATTTACATTTCGTATGCTAAGCATAATCATGAAGAAAGTATTCCATATGCAAATGAATCAAAAGAAATTCGCGTAGAAGCTAGGATCTGGAATTCAGATCTAAGCAAACTGTCATGATTTATCATAATTTATGGACAATGTTACATACACCCAACCCAGTTACACATTCCATTACTTTTAATTTTGTTAGTTTTAACGGTATAATTAACTGAAATCATTAGTTTTAATAGTACAACTAACAGAAACCATCTATTTTAACAGTACAAGTAAAAAAAAATCGTCAGTTTTAACGCGCAAATAACAAAAATAATTAGTGTGTAAGGGAGTGTATAACTTTGTAAGAATAATGTATCATTTCCCTCATATCCCACATGGAAAATGATTTTGCTTTGAGATCTTCTAGTTTCATTACTGATATTCTTTGTCGGTTGATGTTTCTTGCAGGAGAAGCACACTTCTTAAAGGTAGAAAAAGTTCTGTTTCAAGGGCAGTCAAAGTTCCAAAGCATGATGGTGTTCCAGGTAAAATCTAACATAATCAGGCACATTGATTAAGAAAATGATATACATGTCTCTGTGGCAGCTTGTTCAAAGTACTTTTAAGATCTTAATTAATTTGTTTTTTTGTCTTGCAGTCATCGTCTTATGGCAAGGTTTTTGTTCTGGATGGAGCTCTCCAACTCACCGAGAAAGATGAATGTGCTTACCAGGAAATGATAACTCACCTTCCTCTTTGCTCTATTCCTAACCCAAAAAAGGTTCATAAACAAATCCATTCATACATTATTCTACAATGTCCTAACCATTTTAAACTCTTTTTAATGAATGTTATGTGAATAGAACCTGTTTCTGAACACTTACCTGACAGTTTAAACTATTTTTAACGTCCGAAATATATTTTCGTTTGAACATTCTCCGGAGCTTGAGGACATATTTTCAGTTTGATGGTTGAAATGGTCGGTAACCCCCATATTTTTGTAGGTTCTGCTAATTGGGGGAGGAGATGGTGGTATCTTGAGGGAAATATCTCGCCATGCTTCTGTCCTCCAGATTGATATAAGTGAGATAGACACAATGCTAATTGATGTCAGTAAAACCTCTTCTCCCTATCTCAAGTGGAAAGATTAAAGACACAAACATTCAGCTGGCTTATGTATCTTCTTCTTCATTTTTTTTAAAGGTGTATAAGAAATTCTTCCCTAAGATTGCCATTGGATACAAGGACCATCGTGTAACACTTCATGTTCAAGATGGTATGTTTTATTTCCATTTAGTCATGTAGAGAAGAGAAGTGATTTCAGAATGATCATGCAATGTGTCATTTTACCATCTTGCAGGAACTGCATACTTGCAGTCTGTTCCAAGTGGAACATATGATGCAATCATAGTGGATGCATTCGATCCTATAAGTAATATCTTTGTTTCCCTCTCCAAAGTAATCAATCAGGGCTCTAATGTATCACCTTAACATTAATTAACAAGGTCACATGTCTGCAGGACCTGCACATGAGCTTTTTGAAACTCCATTCTTTGAGTTGGTGGCTAAAGCTCTATGTCCGGGAGGAGCATTGTGTATTCAGGCAGAAAGCCTGTGGTTTCAGCCACCCCTCAATCTTGAAGAAGTGACTGCAAGTTTCCGGAAAGTATTCAGAGGCTCCATTGAGTATGCCTGGACAGTTGTTCCTACTTATCCCAGGCATGCTAGCTAGCTTTTCATCTTCTTTCACTTCCAAAACCTTAGTCCATTCTTAAAACCTGGGAATTAAGTGCTCGCATTTCTCCAAGTTGACATCATTAATCCTGGTTTTATGTAACAAAAATCTCTCATTCATCTA